AAAAAAATGCCTTTACGAGGGGGGGATGGCTTCATGAATCACAAGGCTTTGCGTCCTTTAATGCTATTGCCATTTTTCAGCGCGTAACCATCAATACCCCAATTCTCTCTCAGGTCTTTTTCCTTTGTTCAACTCACAAAATCTTCATTCTCTCTCCCTCACTCTTTCTTTTGTCCCCACACGAGTAAGACACATTCAAAAACTCTGACCACTGAGCACAGACATCCTCTTCTTCTCCACCTCCAACTGGAAATCCCCAAGAATTCAATTTTGACTTTTTTTGAAGTTGCAGGCTATTTCCTCTTAAGCCTTTCATCATCACACTGAACAAAGCATAAACGAGTCACCAACTTGGAAAGTTTGGTACAGTTTCTTTCAACCCCCACCAAGCTGCAAGCTTCGGAAATTCCCCTCTGAGAAGCAGACCAGGTATGAACATGATCTCTCTAGCATTTATGTCACCGGGATCACAGAAATTTATTTTTTTGTTCCGAAACTTAATATTGTTCTGTAACTGACAGTATGTGAAGACTTATTTAATTAATGAAAACGCGTTTTTTCGTTTGGACTTCGTTCTCACCCAAATTTAACGTCTCTGCATCAGAATTTTCTTACCCTCCAAACACACATTTTGGCCTTCAGAGTTCCCATTTTAGTTGATTTACATCCTTATCTCCATTTTTCTTCAGTCAACTTTAACTTTCGGTATTGGATAGATTTTGCTTCCTGGGCTTCGGGACAATTCGTGATTGACTTTATTTATTCCCCATTTTGTTTTCATTTGGGTGTTTGTTTCTGGGAAATTTCTGTATACAAGGAATTCAGACCCCTCTTGCTCTTTCCACAGTTCAGAATTCTTAGAGTTTCCTTTTTCTTCCTTAGATTTCTTACTGAAATTTGCAAGGCGTTCAATGTTAGGATTTTCTCTGGGTCCAAGGAAGAAGTTACCGTCGCTATGGCTTTGAAGTTTTCTCTTGTTCTGGTTCTGCTCGTAATATATTCCAGCGCAGTGGAGGCTGTTTCCAGCAACGACAATCAGAACTGTCTCAAGAAAAATGGTTCTTCTCTCGCTGCCATCAAAATGCCTGATCATCCAGGCCTCAATACGGCGTCTTCTTCTGCGTATACTGACTGTAGCTTCTCAAAGTCTGAGAAATTTGGGCATTCAGGAATAACCACATCAGATGAAGATACTGGTGATGATTATGTAGCAACACCACAGAAACAATTGCTAAAGCTCGATCTGAAACGTCGACCTGTGACGGTGAGTGAAGATGTCGAGCCAAAAAAACCTGTGATTGATTTCACTATTCGGGACTTGACCAGAATCCAGACCCTTCATAGAAGGGTCAAGGAGAAGAAGAACCAAAACACTGTTTCAAGGCTGCAGGAAACACAGCTCAAATCAAAGCAGGCTGTTACTCCGGCGCCGGCACAGGCAGCTGTGCCGGAGTATTTCATAAATGGGTATCCCGGCCGGCTTGTGGCAACATTGGAATCAGGGGTCAGTCTTGGCTCTGGAGAGTACTTCATGGATGTGTTTGTTGGTACACCTCCAAAACATTTCTCTTTGATACTTGATACAGGCAGTGATCTTAACTGGATCCAATGCGTTCCTTGTTATGTTTGCTTTGAGCAAAGTGGACCTTACTATGATCCTAAGGATTCAAGCTCCTTCAAGAACATAAGCTGCCATGACAAAAGGTGCCAGTTAGTGTCATCCCCAGATCCACCTCAGGCTTGCAAGGCTGAGAAGCAGAGCTGTCCTTATTTCTACTGGTATGGGGATAGCTCCAATACAACCGGGGATTTTGCTCTTGAGACTTTCACAGTTAATCTCACCACATCTGAAGGGAAGTCTGAGTTGAAGCGTGTGGAGAATGTAATGTTTGGTGTGGACATTGGAATAGAGGTCTGTTCCAAGGAGCTGCTGGGTTGCTGGGACTAGGAAGAGGGCCATTGTCATTTGCTTCTCAGCTTCAATCTCTTTATGGTCATTCATTTTCCTATTGCCTTGTGGATAGAAACAGCAACAGTAGCAGCAAACTGATATTTGGGGAAGACAAGAAACTTCTCAGCAACCCAAACTTGAATTTCACCTCATTTGTGGGTGGGAAAGAAAACCCAGTTGATACATTTTACTATGTGCAGATAAAAGCTGTCATGGTTGGTGGTGAAGTACTGAAGATACCAAAGGAAACTTGGCTTGTATCTGCAGAAGAAGGTGGTGGTAGTGGTGGAGGAACCATCATTGATTCTGGCACTACTCTAACTTATTTTGCAGAGCCTGCTTATCAGATTATCAAGGAGGCTTTCATGAAGAAGATCAGGGGCTACAAGATGATTGAAGAAGGCCGTTTTCCTTTAAAGCCTTGCTATAATGTTTCTGGGTTTGAAGCTGTTGAGCTGCCTGATTTTGGGATCATGTTTGCAGATGGAGCTGTTTGGGATTTCCCTGTGGAAAATTACTTCTTTGAGATTGAACCAAGTGCTGTTGTTTGTTTGGCAATTCTGGGCACTCCTCATTCAGCTCTTTCCATAATTGGGAACTATCAGCAGCAGAACTTTCACATCCTCTATGATCTCAAGAATTCCAGACTCGGATTTGCACCAGTGAATTGTGCTGATGTTTAGTAAACACTGAAGATTTTAAGTGAACATGATTGGTTGATGTCACCTGAGATGAAAAGAAGAGATAGAAGGAGACAGATGTGGGACCCATCTATCGAGATAGAGGTGATAGGTGGTCCCACTTCTCTCATTTTATTTTATTTTTACCAAAAGTTCAGCTTCTGTCATTGGTCGTCTGAACTCTAATTTAAGGGGTGTGGATTTTTAGATTTTTTTTTTCCTGATAGAAAGTTATAGATAAATGCTATGAAAGACAAGGCAATGTATTGTTTGTTTCTTTACTAGGTGATTGTAGAAGTAAGCTTCAGGTAATTATAGAAACAAGATCATAAATACTTGATTTCATTGTCAATCAGAAAGTGCAGAATTTTGCTATATTTTGAAGTGTAATATCATGACTAGGTCGGCGTAGTAGTGTAAAAATAAATGAGACTAGAAGAAAAAAAGGAAAGATGAAGCCTAATGTCACTCTGACTTGTGAATAGTATTTGAATTTTGAGGAGAATAATAGTTTTATAGGTAGTTAAAGAAATGGTACAGATTATGACATTAATCAATTGGTTTCTCCGTGATAAGAGAGTCACTCATTAGTCAAAATGAAAAATAACGATATAAGTATAAAGATATTGTTCAAATTGAGTAGCAGGAGAGAATAAAGATTCACATTCCTGCAACAATTTAATGAAATTTCGTAGATCATTCTTCCGTATATAAATAAGTGACTTAATTTGAGAGTTGATATTAGTCTTATATGTGATATCTATTTCATATGTTTATTAATTTTTCTCAAAATAACTCTATTGATATTCTCTTAATAATAATTTAGTAGGAAAGAGGGAGAAGAAATTAGGGGAGAGAGAGAAGAAATTAAAAAAGATAATTATGATGCTTTAGAAAAAACATATCATATTAATTAATTTACTCAAATTAGTTAATATGAAGGAGTATTAATGTTTGTCTTGAAATAATCAAAGTCAATTACAATTAACAAGTCTCGATTAATTTTTTTTTGCGCTGAAATAAGTCATGATTAATTAAGTTCTGTTTCATTAAAAAGATATGATTAGTTATGTTTACAAAATCATTCAAATGGAAAGAAAAGGAATAGAATTTAATAATCGCCTGCTTCCTCACGTTTATTTATATTTAATTTATTGAGCACTTGCAAAATATTATTATGCCTTGGAAAAATGTATGCCTTATAATATTGTTGTTAAAATTACTCCTATAATATTTTTATTAATTTGATTGGTAATAATTATGAACGAGTTTTCTTATGATCTTATGTAATCTCTCTTAACTTCTAGTTAAATAAGTTCAATTTAACATTTATTTGTGTAATTTATGTTTTTGTACCAAACTGGTAAATTTAAAATTTTATTGGAAATACGATATCATGAAATTATATGGGAACATTGCAAATAAAGACCCCTAATATGTGAAATTGCGATTTGGAACTCTCAATTTGGAAAATAGCAAATAAAGATCCGGTCCCATATTGCAAATATGAAATCTTAGTGAAATGTCTGTAATACTCCTCAGCAAATTATGATTTACTCTATTGAAGTTGTCATTCGTTAAAGTAAATTTGTCATTTCTTATAGTCAACTTGTCATTTGGCATACCCTCAACTAAGTTGTGATTTGATTTATTGAAATTGTCATTTGTTAAAGTGAACTTGTCATTTTTCATAGTCAACTTGTCATTTGACTGAGGGGTATTTCAGATATTTTACCAATATTTCATATTTATAATATGAAACCAGGTCTTTATTTGCTATTTTTTAAATTAAAAATCCTAAATTATAATTTTTATATATTAAGAGTCTTTATTTATAATTTTCTCAAACTATATTAAGATACAAAATCTGTTTGCATAAATCCTATTTAGTCATTACTTTAATTACAAAATGTGTTCCCCCCTCAAAGCATAGTATCTTCGTATTTTGGGTAATTTTATTTGAAACATTATCAAATATTAAATATGAAAATATTTCTCAAAAGATGTGCCACATTTAATATTTCATGAAGCGATATGACTAATATAAAGTTAATTTAATTATTAAATTAAAAATTTTGTTCAAGATCTGGTACAAATATTTGTCACAATTTTTTCATATTTTATTTTTTTTTTGCCAACATTTACTTTAATATTTTTATATATAATTCCTCTGGAAATTTCCACAAAGAACTGAGATAATTTTTTTAATTTTTATCTCAGATTTTTAATAAACATACAATAAATGATAAATATTTTAACAACTGCACCTTTTCAAAGAATATTTTTCATGGGCCTTTTTACTGGGCTGTGGTTTTAGATGGCCCAATCAAACAGCTCGGTAGGGTTTTATCAGTTGTCTTCTAGTGCAATGCGATTGTGCTTCTTCCCCTTGCGTCCAGCCATCCATCGTCCCAAATGGTTTCGTTCAGGGTAATGCACGACATGTTCCATGGCGTTTTATGCATTTCTGAATTTCCCTTTGATTGTTTCGGAGGAATGAGTTCGTCATTTTCAATTCCTATTTGTATTTTGTTCTGTGAAGTTTTGAATTGGTTCCAATGATTGTTTGATTGTGTGGAAACAGTTTCACCAGTACCAGGTGGTGGGAAGGGCCCTTCCTACAGAGACAGATGAGCACCCCAAGATCTATCGCATGAAGCTTTGGGCCACCAATGAGGTCCGTGCCAAATCCAAGTTCTGGTGCGTTATGATCCTCTCCCTGTATTGCCTTCTACTTGGATGATGAGAAAATGCAGGAATTAAAAGCAGTTCCTGTTTTAAACCTTCGCTAAAGTCACTCTTTGGTTCATGAAAGATGATTTGTGTTTTATCGTGAATTAAACGTACTGTATAGCTCAGACCTCAATCTGTCTTCTTTTTGTTCGTTTTAGTCCTTTGTTTGCTTACTAAAGGAATAGCTTGACGCTAGAATAATGAAAATAGAGTATCCAATCGTACATTATGTCGTTTCAGAACATAGCTCAGATCATTCATATTTTTCATTACCAAAGTTGGAATTTAGTAAATTTACTTATATGGTATATATGTGAATAATTCAGAAAGTCATAGATACTGCATCCTGTAAGAATTTTGAGGCCCGAAATTTGTGTATAAATTAAAATTTCGAGAATACTGTTTTGACTTTCAGCTGATTTGTTGATACTAAATTAATCGAATAGGTTCCATCATTTAAAATAAATGACTTAAACAGTATCTGGTTTCGCTCCCCGACAACTCTCTTGACCCTGTATTATCCCATCCATCTTTTGAATGGAATAAGAAAGTTGCTTGTATTATATATATATATATATATATATATATATATTTCATTGAGTTGAATAGTTGTATGTATTTGATGTCTTTAAAAATAACATCAGGCGTTTTTCTTTTCGTTTTTGATTTTGCAGGTATTTCCTGAGAAAGCTGAAGAAGGTGAAGAAAAGCAATGGGCAAGTGCTAGCCATTAATGAGGTCTGAAATATCCTTCTAGGTTTTACAACATTCCTTTAGACGATACAAGGCCCATTCTGTTATTCTACTAGTACAGTGAGTTACATTGAACATTGGTTTTTAAATTGGAAAGATGCTTAACAGTGGAATATGCTTTTGGGAGAAATTGAATGATCTAACAGCTATAGGAAAATGTGGTCTGTAGGCATTGAAGTTTGACGAATTTGAGCCAGGGTTCAGGACACTGGCTTACGTATATCTTTTATTTTTTGTCGTCCAATAGCCTTATGGGCTAACCTCTTGGAACCTATGCATCATGAATTTGAGTAAATGCATATAGAGGATAACAAATGCTGGAGATTTTTAATTAGAGTCAATTTGCAACATATATGAAGATCAAGCCAACGGTAAAGAAACACTTAGGACCCGAGCATGTCGCTTCATGATTGGTTTAGCCTGCTTATTCATTTATAGCCTTGGCCTACCTTAGAATCTTCATACTTTTTTAAGGGTGTGGTGGGGTGGTGGGATTGTTTCCAACTTCTTAGCTTCAGGCGTATTTCAGGTTCATCTATCATCTTCTCAAATGAGATAATTTGCTTTTAACACATGATGATTGCAGATTTATGAGAAAAATCCTACCAAGATTGATAACTATGGAATCTGGCTGCGATATCAAAGTAGAACTGGTTATCACAACATGTACAAGGAATACCGAGACACCACCCTCAATGGTGCGGTTGAGCAAATGTACACTGAAATGGCATCACGTCACAGGGTGAGGTTTCCATGCATCCAGATCATCAAGACAGCCACCATTCCTGCAAAGATGTGCAAACGAGAGAGCACCAAGCAGTTTCATAATTCTAAAATCAAGTTCCCATTGGTGTTCAAGAAGGTCAGGCCGCCAAGTAGGAAGCTGAAGACAACTTACAAGGCATCAAGGCCCAACTTGTTCATGTGATTTGGACAAGTCACATTCCCTTTGCTTATCGCTGAGAAGTTGTTTGATTTATTAGTGAACTTGCAAGAGCTAGAAAAGCTAATCGTATAGCACCAAACATCACCACATGCAACTGCAAGCTCTCAAGTTTTGAGCATTTCGTTTAGGAGAGTTGTTTTGATATTTTGCCGATCCGCATCAACTTACTCATAATTAATTGTTAAATTTTATTGGAAAGGCGATTTATGATTTATTATGATATGAGATTTGTTTGTGCAAATTCTATTTAACCATTACTTTAGTGGCAAAAATGTCTTAAACATGCCCCCCGTAACAGTTTGACTGGACCTAATGAGTCCATGTGTTCCTTCAAATTTTCGAATGATAAAATGATAATTATACATAAAGTTGGGGATGCTTAATGGGTTTAAAGAAGGCATGGGACCAAGGCATTGAGAGGCATTATGCTGCAGAGCGACTCTCTGGAAGCTTATTGCTGCCATTTAGTTTTGTTTGCTTTTATGGTGTTTTGTGTTTTCTGAAGTATCGAAAACAAAAATGTAAATTTAAATATTAAAATCAAAATTTTGTTCAATATCATGGAAGATGGTTATCCGAAATTTTTTATATTTCCTTTTATATTGTCGTCATATAATATTTCAGTGAAAAAATTCAACAAAGAACTTAGATAATTTTTTTAATCTCATTTTTTTTGGGTAAAAATATACTAAATGATAAATATTTCCAAGAACTGTACCTTTAAACCTACTTCTCATGGGCCTTCTTATTGGGCCGTGGTTTTAGATGGCCCAACCTAACATCTCCCTAGGGTTTTATCTCTTGGCTTCCACCGCAGCTGGGTTGCGCTTCTTCCCCCGGCATTCATCGCGCCAAATGGTTTCGTTCAGGGTAATGTACAACTTGGTCCCTGGCATTTTATGCTTTCCTGAACTTTCTTTTTCTGGTTTCCGAGGAATGAGTTCGTCGTTTTCAATTCTATTTGTATCTTGTTCGGTGAAGTTTTGAATTGGTTCCAATGATTGTTTGATTGTGTGGAAACAGTTTCACCAGTACCAGGTGGTGGGAAGAGCCCTTCCCACAGAGGCAGATGAGCACCCAAAGATCTACCGTATGAAGCTTTGGGCCACCAATGAGGTCCGTGCCAAATCCAAGTTCTGGTGCGTTATGATCCTCTCACTGTACTGCCCTCTGCTTGGACGATGAGAAAATGCAGGAATTAAAAAACAGTTCTCGTTTCAGAAATTCGCTACATTTTCATTTTGTTTCATAATAGATATTAAGTGATTGGTGGTTTATCCTGAACCAAACATACTGTACAGCTCAGACCTCAATCTCTCTTCCTTTTGTTCATTTTAGTTCTTTGTTTGGTTGAGATAGGAATAGCTTGACCACAGAATAATCAAAATAGAGTTTTCAATTGTACATTATATAGTTTCAGGACATAGCTCAGATCATTCATACTTTTCAGTACCAAAGCTGGAATTTAGCAAATTTACGTATATGGTATATATGTGAATAATTTAGAAAATTATTGATACTGCGTCCTGTAAGAATTTTGAGGCCCGAAACCTGTGTATAAATTTAAATTTCGAGAATAATATTTTGATTTAAATAGTGTCTGATATTGCTTCCCTACAACTCTCTTGACCCGGTATTACCGCATCGCTCTTTTGGATGAAATAAGAAAGTTGCTTTATTTGATGTCTTTAAAACTAACATCATGTGTTTTTCTTTTGTTTTTGATTTTTCAGGTATTTCCTGAGAAAGCTGAAGAAGGTGAAGAAAAGCAATGGGCAAGTGCTAGCCATTAACGAGGTCTGAAATATCCTTCTAGGCTTTTACAGCATTCCTTTTGACATCACATGACTCATTCGAGTAATCTACTAGTATACTGAGTTACATTGAGCATTGGTTTTTAAAATTGGTGAGATGCTTAACACTGAAATATGCCTGTGGGAGAAAATCATGCGAAGAGATATAAAGTTATAGGACTTTGGAGAGAGGGGTTTCAAGCATGGATCCAGTTTAAATATATCTATGGTTCACTTCAACGTATAAAGCAATACTTTCATGCTTTCTTGTGGTGAGAAATTGAATGATCTAAACAGCTAAGGGAAAATATACACTATTGACATGGAAGGTTGACAAATTTGAAGCTAGGATTCAGGACAATGGCCGAATGGCTATGTTTATTTTTTATTTTTTGTCACCAATAGTCTTTATCTGCTAATCTCTTGAAACTCATCTATCATGAATTTGGGAGCACACATATTGTAAATCACACATTCTGGAGATTTTTAATTAGAGTCGATTTGCAAGAAATGTGAAAGACCAAACCAATCATAGAGAAACACTTAGTCGCTTTTTTGAGCAGGAGGCCAGGACCTACCCTTGACATGCTTGCATGTCTCTTCATGATTGGTTTAGCCTGCCTGTTCATTTATTGACTTGGCCTACCTTAGAAGCTTCGTACTTTTTTTTTAGCGTGCGGTTGGATTGTTTCCAATCTCTGAACTTCAGTTGCATTTCGGATTCATTTATCATCTTCTCAGATGAGATAACTTGCTTTTAATATATGATGATTGCAGATTTATGAGAAAAACCCTACCAAGATCGATAACTATGGAATTTGGCTGCGATATCAGAGCCGAACTGGTTATCACAACATGTACAAGGAATACCGAGATACCACCCTCAATGGTGCTGTTGAACAAATGTACACCGAAATGGCATCACGTCACCGGGTGAGGTTTCCATGCATCCAGATCATCAAGACAGCCACCATCCCTGCAAAGATGTGCAAAAGAGAGAGCACCAAGCAGTTTCACAATTCTAAAATCAAGTTCCCATTGGTGTTCAAGAAGGTCAGGCCGCCAAGTAGGAAGCTGAAGACGACTTACAAGGCATCAAGGCCCAACTTGTTCATGTGATTCAGATAAATCACATTCCTTGCATTTTGCTGAAAAGTCGGTTGATTTATTAGTGTACTTTGGAAGAGCTAGAGAAGTTAATCGTATAGCGCCAAACATCATACCTGCAACTGCTAGCATTCAAGTTTTGAGCATTTAGTTTCGGAGAGTTGATGTGATATTTTGCTGATCCGCATCGATTTATTCGAGGGCGGTTTTGAATTTAGTGACAAATTTTGGCTTACTTTTTTCTGCATTACATTATTCACATGATGTTTTCCTTTTTGTTGAAGAACTGAATTTCCTCAGAAGCTCTCGCCAAGTGGGTCTGCTAAGTTTCAAGTATTGTTGATGATGTTATCCTGGTAACGGTGTCTTCTTATTGGAAGGAAATATCTGATGACCTTTATGGCAGTTTTGGTAGGATGGAATGGAGAAGGGATATATCACAAGCTTTTTCTCAATTTTGCACTTTTTCTCTCTACTTATTGGGAATTCCCTACTTCTAGTCTGAATAAGTAATGCAATGTTTCGTGTGCAAAAAAGAAAAAAGAAAAAAGAAAAATCTGTTTTGGAAAAGAAATGAGAAATATGCGCATCACTATTTATTCTTGGGATTGGAAAGACACCGTGAACATGCCCACTTTTCATTTTTATGGTCTTTCTTTTCATTTTTTGTTGCAACATGTGTTAATTGTTATTTTCAATGTGTTAAGAGTATTTAAAATTTGTTTGCATGAACTTGGAAGAACAAAATGAATAATTTAATGTTTTGTCGACGAAGATAATTTAATTACGAGGTGTTAAGATGATTTGGTAGTGAACCAGAGTAAAAAAAAAAAAAGGATCGGACCAGCCGGTTTAACTGGAAAACTGGTGAATTGGTCAGTGATCCGATATGGTTCATAGATTAAATCGGGAACCAGTTCGAACCAGATTTAATCGATCAAACCGGTGTGAACCGGTAAAAACAGGTAATAAACTTGTCAGAATGATTATTTTGCTATTTGTCATATTTTTTCTCACTCAGCTCCTAATATTTCAGTTATTATAGATTTAAATGGATTTTAATGGTAATTTTGGCATCAATAACTATTAATTTTAGTTATTTAGGAATCATAAAGATCAAAATTCTCAATATTATTATCCTTTATTGTTGTTACAATCAAATTATTATTGTATTTCCTTGTATTTTGTTATTAGTGATTATTAGTATTGTTATATTTTGTTATTTTCAATCAAATTATATTACTTAAATATGATCGGTTTGATTCTGGGTTGATCCCGATTGGATCCACTGACCCTTGAATCACTATTCTAACCAATTTAGTGTTCAGTCCAGTTTTTTGTTCCTTGTAATGAACAATTGAGTATTGTTTATATTTTTTCAAAAAGAAAAAAATAACTAGAGATGTTACTTTCTTCTGTTCTTATTATAAGTTTCAAATAACTAATTTATAAATAGTAAACAATTAGTAAAAATTAGTTAAAAATAATAAATAAGTTAAAAATAGATTTTTGTTTTCAAATATGTCTTTATAATAAACAAGAAAAAAGATTAAAAAAAATATATAAAAAATATGATAGGAGAAAAATAATTAAAGATAATATTTAAAAAAATATATTAAATATTAAAATAAATTAAAATTAAAATTTATAAAATTCATCATAGAATATTTGCTGGGATAAAGTGTGAGTATTATGAGACGGGGCCAGTACCGTCTGACAAAAAAGGTTGAGTACTCGTTTTGGCAAAGCAGTAGTACAAACAAGAAGAAATCAGTTATAGCAAGCACTGAGCAGGTAGGTGCCGGCAGTGGAGGTGACATTTGGACTTTTGTTGATGTGCTTATGATGAGAAGGCGGGAGTAACGCATTGTACTGCCATAAATTGGCTCTAAATGCTTGTTTGCTGGTAATGGACCGAAATTTGCCATTGCCTCTCTTTTTAAATATAAAACTTTATACCTTATAGTGTGCATTATAAACTATAAAATTTTATTTTATTTTGATCCTAAATATAAGACTCTGATCCACTTTGTCTTTTATATTTATATATTCTTTTTTCAAAGTAGTCTTCTTAATAATGGTAGTTCTAGCTAATATACTTGATTAGCAATGATATTTTAGTAAAGACAACACTTATTTATTACAAATAACTAACTTAACTTATTTCTTTAATCTCATTAAATTAGTCAACTAGCTCTTATATTTAGGATCGAAGGTAGTACATTTTATACAAACTAAATTTCATAATTAGGATATTATTAGTAGGACCATTAGGTCTAATTAGGTCTTCAGGGGCTGGTCCGCCGCATGCTGGTCCTCATAATAATATCTTAATGATGTAAATTTAATTTCAATTAGGCACTAAAAAACCGGATTGTTTAGGAGACCTATTGAGATAGTGGTTTAAATTAGGGTCAAGTTAAGCTAGTCATAATTGAAATAATACAATTTAATTAAAATATATAAAATACTCATCTATAATCATGAAAGAATTGATAATTAAATAAAAAAATATCAATTCATTACTAAATAGAACATTCGTGAATAAAATTGCACACAATCTACTGAGACTAAGTTACTACAGCATAAATGTGATGAGCTGCTATTTTTTCTTCTTCTTTTTTTAAACTCTAAACGTTGTGGTTTGAGGCTCCATGAGAAATAAGAAAATATATATATATAAAAATAAACTCGGTTAGTTTGTTTAAAACTCTTAACTACACCGGATTACTAGCTCACTGTCGGACGACATGGGTTGAGTTTTAATATCATAAATTTAAATGATTTATGATTAAATTTTTAAAAAACATCTTATTATAAAAAGTAAAAGTTATATACTACCTTCAGTCTTTAATATAAGAGCTGGTTAACTAATTTGAATGGATTAAAAAAACTAGTTAAATTAGTTATTTATCATAAATATATGCTGTCTTTTCTAAAATATCCTTGTTAATTAAGTATTTTTTGTTAAAACTACCATTGGTACAAGGATTATTTTGAAAAAAAATAGATTAAATATGGGAGCTAAAGTGAGTTAAGATCTTATATTTAAGATCAAAATAAAAGTCAAATGAACTCTTATAATAAAAGAGGAGATAAAACATAAGATGAAATTAGACTAAACATAAACCGTCCAAATGATGATGTATATATATATTATTAAAAAAAAAGAAGGTAAAATTAAGTCAAACTTGGTCTTGCGTTATTATGCATCGAAAAGCAGTATTCCGAACTTACAGTTGAGAGGTGGTTGGTGAGGCCGAGACACTCTCTGTAAAGTGCTCTGCGGTTCTTCAGGCGTTTACACGTGGTGGTAGATGGACCTACTCAGATGACTCCCTCTGTACAGTTTGTTCATAATGTTATATAGCTTCCTGCCTGCCTTCCTTTATTGGAGCTATAATACCTCATTGCCTCACCTGCCTTCATTAACTTTTCTTCCTCTTCCCGGTTGGTTGTCAAGTCTTTCCTCCAATTTTATTGTCTGATATATTGTCATTGCTATAATTCCGATTCCGCTATTTGTTTGACTGTGCAGAGTAACATTTGATTCGAAATGGCGGTTAATGCTGCGAATCCTGATGAACAGGCAAGTGTTTATTGATTTCTGTTATTACCGATATGTGATGCTTTTTGGGGGTAAATTTGTAATGAGGTTCTGCGATTAGTGGGAGTGATGGATGACTGATCGGAAATTTCTGCTTTTGTTGTTAAGGTTGTTCTTGGTGAAGAGATTGATCATGTGAGGTTGATCACCTTAAACCGTCCTCGTCAATTAAATGCTATTTCACCTGAACTTGTAAGTCAAGCGAGTAAATTCCTTTCCTGGTTTTTCTCTGAAACGAAATTCTTCTAACGAACTTTTCTAGTGAATAAATTCCCTTCAGGGGTGATTTTCAGAGATATGCTAATTTTTAGTTGCTACGGCTGCTGAGTCTTCTTCTTTCTAATGTTATCAGGTTTCGCTGGCGGCGGCATATCTAGAAAAGTGGGAGAAAGATGATAAAGCAGAGCTTGTTATCATCAAGGTTTTTCTGATTCACATGGCTTCTTCAAATATTGTGCAATGTCACTGTTGATTAATCAATTATAAGTACCTATATGATTCGAACAGATTGTGATTATCTTTCTCTGGGCTGTGTTGCTCATTTACTATCACTAAATTGTTCCCTAAAACTTGCTCAGGGTGCTGGTCGAGCTTTTTCTGCTGGTGGGGATTTGAAAGTGTTTTATGATGGGAAAAAAACAAGTAAGTATGTTGTTATGCTGGCTTTTTCATGTTTCTTTATGGGGCACTAGCTTCTTCCTAGTTCACAGACTTTCCCTCTTTCTTTTGGAAGCGAATATCTAGGAGTTATTCAGAGGGAAACCAGTTAGAGCGCATATCTGGATTCCCTAACCTGCATCGTAGCTGCTGGTACTAATGAGTTTCTTCTGAACAGAGGATTCCTGCCTTGAAGTGGTCTACAGAATGTACTGGCTCTGCTATCACATTCATACGTATAAGAAAACCCAGGTTCCTCTTAGAATCTTTGACTTCATCCCACTCTGGTCCTCAAAAATTTGAAGAAGTTTATGCTTGCAAAGTCTTATGTCTTGTAGAATGGTGCTGTTATGTTATAACAGGTTGCTCTTGTTCACGGAATTTCAATGGGTGGAGGCGCATCATTCATGGTGCCAATGAAATTTTCAGTTGTTACGGAAAGAACTGTGGGTGCTTAATCCGTATTATACATTATTCTAAAGCCATGCCCAGGCTAGTTTTATGATTTAATTCTCAAATGCTGACATCTTTAAATCAATTCTTTTATATAGGTGTTTGCCACTCCAGAAGCAAGTTTTGGGTTTCATACTGATTGTAGCTTCTCTTACGTGCATTCTCATCTACCTGGACGATTGGGTAATTTCTAAAGGCTAATAATTCCTTTATCTTGTTCTTCCCTTTCACTATTTTGAATGACTTTTCTCACGCTTCCGTCTCACATGCTGTATAATCTTCATGCGAGCAAAAGTGTCTAGCTTTTGTTGGATTAGTATCAACCATCTGTACAATAAGACTAAGGCTTTGTTTGGTTCAACCGAAGGGAGGGGAGGGGAAGTTAATTAAAGGAAGGGGAGAGGAGGGGAAGGGAGGTCATGATTTTGTTTGGTTGGAAGGGAGGGGAAGGGAGGGGAGATTTCTTGTTTGGTTCATAAGAGGAGGGGAGGGGAGGGGAGGGGAGGTAATTATAAATTGACAAATATGTCATTATCTCTATATTTAGACCTATTTATTTTTTTTATTACAATATTTATATCAAAATTATTATTTCTTACTATATCAATTTCAAAAAAAAAAAAACCAATTACCTCACTTACATGTAAATATGCAGGGGAATTCTTGGCATTGACCGGAGGACGGTTGAATGGGAAGGAATTAGTCGCAGCTGGACTGGCAACCCATTTTGTCCCTTCTGAGGTTAGTTTATCTTTAATATGTGCTCCTCTTTCATGTAATTATGCTAGTTGATGTACAACAGCCACATGGGATCTCTCTCAAATCCTGTTTCACGTTTGTTCAGTATCTAAGAATAGATTCACACATGGGCTTCGGTGCTAAACAGTTCAACCAATTTAGGAAGAATTGATTTCTTTCTTTTTTCTTGATGGATGAAGAAGTTCCTGACAGCTGAATATATATATATATTTATATATATATGTCTATATAGCTATGGTCAATGGTGGGAACGTATTAGTCCAAGTCCATAAATAATTTAAACAGATCTGCAAAATAGATAATGTTAATTGCATTTTATCATAAAGTTATTGGTTTGTCATGAAATTGGTTTAAATATAAGTTGATCGCTATAATCTCCTCGTATCAGAAACTTGCTGAGTTAGAGAAGCGCCTGATTACCTTAAATTCTGGTGATGAGAATGCTGTAAGATCAGTGATTGAAGAATTTTCTTCAGAAGTTAAGCTTGACGAAGACAGCATCTTAAACAAGTAATAATTTTTTATTGATAATGTGTAACTTTTTTCCCATTTGATTTTGTTGTTAGTGCCAGCACAGTGCATCGCACTCATGCCAGTAACATTTTGAGATTTTCAGGCAGTCGATGATTGACGAGTGCTTCTCAAAGGATACTGTGGAAGAAATTATAAAATCATTAGTAAGTTTCTTCCCCGCTCATCTCCTGGTTTCTCTAATTATATAGGAGCTTTATGGCATTATTACGCACCCTTGTTCATTATATAGAATATTTGTGCTTTCTGAAGGAAGCTGAAGCAAGCAAAGAAGGAAATGGATGGATTGGCGCAATACTTAAAGGAATGAAAAGGTCATCACCCACTGCATTGAAAATAACTCTAAGATCGGTAAGGATTTGGGGGTTAAAATAATAAGATCCTAGACTTACGTTCCTGGACTACATTGTTTTGTAAATTATGAACAACGGGAAGCTTCAAATTGTGAATTCAGTTTTTGCGTTTTTGAATGAGCATACTGTTTCTTCAACTCATGCTGCTATTGCCCAACTTCCATGAACGCAGATTCGTGAAGGAAGAAATCAGACACTATCAGAATGTCTAAAAAAGGAATTTAGACTGACGATGAATATACTCCGAACCACGATATCTGAGGATATGTATGAGGTAATTCTTGTTTTCACTGCTCACTAAAACTGGCAAAAGGCAGCTCTGCTCAGTTTATTTTCATGAAACAGCTCTGCTAATTCTTGTTTTCACTGCTCAATAAAATTGGCCCAAGGCAGCTCTTCTCAGTTTATTTTCAAGAAAAAAAAAATTGCCTACTAAAAGCGATGCAAACTTGTCTCTTGATGAACAGGGTATTAGAGCTCTTACCATTGACAAGGACAATGCTCCAAAGGTATTCTCTCCTCCCTCTTCCAGTCTGACTGTGTATCCTTCCCCTTCTAAAAACCATATATATGGTACCTAGACGCTTTTTGGTTTCAGCTTAAGTTGAGATACTTGGTGCTGAAACTGGGGGAAAACTGGTTTTTCATCTCACAGTTTGTATGTTAATACTAATAATCTCACATAGACAAACTTATTAGCATTCAACTCATCATATGATACATCAAAGATAGCAAGGCCGTTATGTCCTATTCTTACTATTTGATCACAAATTATCAACTTCTTTCAGTGGCAACCTCCAGCACTTGACAAAGTAGATGATGGAAAGGTGGACTTGGTCTTTCAGCCATTTGAAAAGGATTTTGAGCTGCAGATTCCGGAGAAGGAGGAATGCAGGTTGGGAATATTTTGAATGATGTGATTCACTGGATATGATTCTGTAGCTTTTATTCAGCAACATAATCAAATGCCTTTCTCTGATTTGAAACAGGTGGGAAGGCAAATATGAGAATTCTGCTTATGCAGCCTAAGATAAGAGGAGCGAACAGGAAGAATATCTGGTTAGATGCTGTTTCTTCCTTGAAGAGTAAGATTACTACGGATATTTGGCTCAGGTTCTTATGCTTAGTGGTGGATATCCATGCCTCGTTTATGGTTGATGCTTTCATGTAATTTAGAATTAGAATAAAATGAGAGGGTTCATGAGTTATGAAGAACTGTCAACCTTGAAGTTCTTAAAAGAGTCAAGATTTGCAATTAATCATTTTAATCTCAATGAAGCAAATAGATAAATCACACTATGGAGTGTCTAACTAACTTAATGGGAAGACTTTTCAATGAACTGACTGGTTGTGTGACAGATAAAATTAATTGGTCAAGCCAGTGAGCTGACTGGTGACGATAATTTTTTGTTTTTTTTAATGATGAAGAGGCAATCATATTGCAAATGATGTGAAGACAATATTTTCACGGAATCCTTTCCGCTTGGCTTCGAGCTGCACAACCGAAATCAAACTGGATTCAAAACTTCCCCGTAACTGTAAGAAAAACTAGAAATAATCCTACCAATATCAAAGCCAAGGATGCAGTTAGGAAGACGGCCATTTCACTAATTTATTTTACTTCCGAAAGATCATTTGCAGTGTTTTCAAACGACCTTTGGTAAAAGCTATTGTAGGATTCTTTTTTGAAGTTAATGTCATGGCATAAAAATCCAATCTAATTTGACAAGTCAGACTATTTAATCAGTTCTTTGACCACTTTAGTTAAGTGTTTTGAATCAGCTAATCAGGTTGGATCACATATATTTTTCTTCCATTATTAAATTTAAAATGGCATCAGTTTTAGTTTTACCAAAAAAAAATGGAAATTGGTTCGAGTTTAAGTTGTACACATAAAAAAAATTGGTTCAAGTTTTCCAAATCTCTTTCAACTTACAAAATTGGCCTTTTTAAAATATATTTAAACATAAATTCCATCATAATAATTCATTTTCACCCACTTTCTGCTTCATGCACGGACTTCTGATAAACAGCAAACGGAAAACCCCTCGCAAGGTCCTTTCGAAAATTAAAAAACAAAAACAAAAAAACAAAAATAAAAAAAGAACATCAAGATGCCATGGAGCAACAAGCCAGTAGCCAATTGCCAAGAGCGAGGGCCAACCTTATCCATAGCAAATATTTGACAGACAAATCTCCAAAAACTTAACACAAATTGATAATTTACAATAACCAAACTCAACTGCCAAGAGCGAGGGCCAACCTTATCCATAGCAAATATTTGACAGACAAATCTCCAAAAACTTAACACAAATTGATAATTTACAATAACCAAACTCAACTGTTATCACTTCTCATTCACAAAATGCATTGATTGTTAGGCTGCCGGTAAACGAAGCAGGGAAAAAAAATTACAGAATGGATTCTTGGAACATCAAGAGGATAAGAAAATATAGAGCATCTCACCTCATCTGCCTCTCACTACTGTCAGATGATTTCATTTTCAAAGGGAATATACACACACTGAGACTCAAACCGAAGGCTGGAACAGAAAAACCTGAGAAAAGAAAATTATGAGGCGCCTTGAAAAGACAACCGATCTCGGAGAGTATCAAAGATTGATGACGCTGCCGCATTTTGTGAAAAAGTCAATTTCAAACGACCGAGTAATTCACCATCTTTAGCCTGAGAAGCAGCGTCCGCGGCTTCCTTTGCCATGCCAATTCGTGCATATGACTGTCCAAGATTGCAGAAAGGATTAAGCAAAACTGCTGTGAGTACAAAAATTGCATAGGGGCAAAATTATAACAAAGCTCTATATCATTGCAAGCAAAGGCTCTAATATTTGTTCCCAAATCTCTCCTTCCATGGTGTTCCTGAACTAGAGTCTGGACCATAACAATGCAAAGGGGCAAAAATTAGTTTTCTTTTATCTGGGGTAATTTGCTGTGGCCTTGTAAGACTAGTAATGTTGTTTGATAGTGAATATTGGGCAATGACAGAACAAGAGCAAACAAAATGTAGCAAAAATAAGAATGTTAAGATGAATGTGTAATCGTATAAAAAGAAAGCCCAAGAAAACTCATAATGATTGCATATTAAGAAAAATAAGCATCGCATCTGTTGAGGGAAAAAAGGTTTAAAAAAAAAAAAATCAGAGTGGCTGATCCTGTTTCCAGGCAATGGGTTTAACGCAATAAAGAAGATGCTTCAGCAAAGGTGTGATAAATGGGATGAACATAAGCAGAGCATAGTTCTCAACTCTCATGATTATGCCATTCAAAGAGAAATTGCAACACATTGGCATTAACATTAGAGTGAGTAGCAAATGATAAAGGATGATGAAGAAAAGGGAAGAAATATAATAATGATAATTGACAAACAGAGAGTTTTATATGCCTCGGTGATCATATTTGTGGTATTGGTAAAAGTTTTGCTTTTCCCTACTTCACCAATCTGGTAATAATACTAGTTGACCTCATGTTTGATTAACATTTTCTTCTACCATTTCTGCGCAGTGCACATATAATGGATTTAACAACTAAGGCACATCATTATTGAAAGAAGGAATTGAGTTTATTGAAATTCAAAGGTAGGTAAAGGTGCAAAAATATGAAACCAGCAACTCCACTTCTGGTTAGCACAACAGTCAAACCTTTGACTAGAATATAGAAGGAGCATCTTGTGGTATGCAAAATTAGGAGTTGAATCTCATATTTATTGTGTCCATAAAATACCTAGGCTCTCAATGATAATCTTAAGCAATAGAGTTGCACTCCATGCATCTATAAAAACATACCTCAGCTCTTTCTCGAGGATCTGCAAGTTTTGGGATATATTTCAAAGCTTCTGCCTTTTCATCTGCTTCAATGCATGCCTCCACAAATGGCCTGTAACCTACAGATCCCACATCATGTGAGCTTTAGAGCAGCAATCACGTATTATCCAGTAGCAAAAATACATGCAACAATTATTTTAACACGATTCTGAAGAAAAGACGCTGCAAACAAGAGACCTTTTAAAACTAAAGCAATATAAATATAATACATAAAAAGTTAGAAAATCTACCATCAGATCTTTTTTTGTTCACTTGTTATGCTCTATCAATTTTCCAACGGCCATGGATTATGGCAAAGTAGAGAAAAATTTTGCTTTGTTCACTTTAGCATTCAGTACATTAAGATATTCGCACTTGGGAACAGAGGATGGGGAACAGAAACGGGAGTCAGAATAATGATTTTTAGCACTGGATAAGATATCCTCCAAGAGGTAATGATCAATATGGATGTGTCATTGATTGATGATCCTCACAATCTGTCCCATTAAAATTAAGAAAATCTCACACCATTAGTATGAATCTAGAGTTGATGCTCACAAATTAACTAGGAGGACAAGCTTACCAATTGGTGGTTTCTTCTCCTTTGAAAATTTTTCCAGTGCAGCCCAATCTTTGATGGTAGCTAAAGCAAAGACTTTCAGCCAATACCATCTCTTTTCAGACACCTAAGGTAATATAACAACAGAAGTTCAATAAGTGTCTCAGAAACCAAAAGTTTAGCTCCACAAGGTATAAGAAAAATATTTATTGCTTAAATTGTATTAACATTATTCAATTGGTTTAAAATGCAGATGAAAAGAACCACTTAAGGCTAGCTCAAGTGATAAGGATCGAATGAGGCATGTATAATGTTGATAATTCAAAAATTCTTGACATAACAAGCAAAACATAGGTGGAAAGGCACAAAAGAAACCTTGCTTTCCATTCAAGAAAAGAAGGTGAAGAAACTAGTTAAAAACTCACCTTAAATTCTGTTTTCACTTTCATTGCGGCTCGGTGATTTCCCAATACAATACACGTACGGATTGTATCACTTATACTTGAATCTACAAAAATGGCTTGCTTTGTGCTCACTTCTAATTCATGCTGTATTCTGCAGCGCAGTAACAGCATCAGAATGTCAATTTTTTTATTCCATGATATTTATAGCCATGTAACAAGAACACATACCCTAGTAAAATCTGAATCCCTGTCTAATAATAAAATATGAATTATCACATAAATACACCAGACTATGCAGTGCATTGCAGCCTAATACAAATGCAGATGTTGCGAAGATTTATAGTATAGTCTAAAGATATAACCAAAATAAAAGTAATATTCACACCTTAACAGTTTTGCATGCTCTTCAGCTGCCTTTGATTCAAAAACATGTTCCTTTGTTTCTGCAAAGAGATTCTGTGCCTTGTCAATAAGTTTTATACGAGGGCCATGAAGTGGAGACCCTTTGCTTGCCATGGGGTTTTTCTCTAGCTCCCATGATTCTTTCCACAGCAGAAAAGCCACATCCTACGAGAATTAACTTCTAGATAAATTTGTAGTATCTAAATGGAAATCTTGTGGTCAACTAGATATTGTGATAGAAGGATAAGCTTCACTAGCGATGCACACATTTAACAAGACAAAAAACAATGACGATAAAACTTATGACAGAATAATTAATCAATAATGAGAAAATTAGGCAGAGTCCCGCATATAATGAAGAGAAAAAAGGACACAAAGAAGAGCTTAAAACCTTCAGGTGGACAGAAAATGTTCACATGCAGGTTGTCAACTCCACACATACAAGGTTTGCCAGATTGTATGAATAAAAGACAAAGTCAAAATTTCTTGGTTTTTTTTCTTTTTCTTTTTTCTTTTTGGGGGGGGGGGTGGGGAATCCTCAAAGCAACAAAACCTATGACAAAAGCATGATGTTCCCTTTCACCTCAATTGAAATATTCATATAATTCAGGAGATAATGACTTACTTGAAGTTGTCCTGTCGATAAGTAGAAGTCCTTCAGAAATTCATGTTTATAGTACCTGAAACAAAAATTTAGCTAGTTTTGCTCCAATGATACACATTTAGAAGAAAATTATCACTTTAAAGCACGTGTTTATAATTGGGTGATTGAATTTAGGAGGAAAAAAATCAATAGAGAGTAAACTATGTGCTGTGTATAAAAACAGAATCATGCAACTGGGTGATTAGCTCTGCAAACAGAAAGTCCCAATGTTATATTCATTACATGCAGAAAGGTCTACTTTTTAGTGAATTTTGCCCTGCATCCATCATTTGTACCTATGGAGATTAATAGTCAGGGATATCCTTGGCTGGAATTCAGTAAAACAACACTGCCTTCCATGCTTATGGTTGCAACCTATTACTTCATTGCACTGACGCTAAGAAAGGCAAAATCCTAGAAATTTTTCCAGCTATATTGTTGCCAGGATATATTGTCAGCGGCATGTATGAGTTCACACATTTTATCAGAATTTTTTCCATCGGCTCATAAGCATACTCCCTCCCCGAAATTCCTAGTCTACAATACTAGAAATCATATGATGAACAGATCTCGTATGACAAGGAAATAATCTAGAACCTACTTCAATGTATATTAAATATCAGCGTTTTAGAACGGGACCAGACCAGATGGTCAACCAATTCAACTGCTGCCTGCTTTGATAAACAGCATTGTTTGAGGCTTTACACCATTTTTGTCGTCAGACTGTTTTGAACTGGCTATTGAGATGAAAACCAAAGTTGAACTGGAAACCAAACCTGGTTTTTGAAAAAGGGACTCAATTATTCTTCCCAAAAATACCCTCATTAAGAGTTTGGAATTTGTTACTACTATGTGAGCTTATTAACTCACTGTGAAATTCGACTATTCAAGTTTATTTTAGCTATTCAATAACTTGATGTTGTATTTCTTATGCATATATTATCACATATGATATTATTTTTTTTAATTTAATTATTACATAAAAGGTTCATTCAGCCCCTGGTTGAACTAGAACCATTAAACCCATGACCCAATTACATTCCCAGTTCAGTATCTGATCCGATTCCATAGACTTTGTTAAATATACTACTGAAGTTCAACCCCAGTCCTTTCACTCCCATATGATTATTTGTTCAAAACTTCATTATCACATACAAACTAATTTCCTCATTTGGCTAGAGCTATCATTCAGCCACCTGGGTTTGCCTCGTGCAGTTGTGCTGTATTTTTCTAGGCCACTTACTGTGCATAAGTTATAAACAAGTCACGTGCTAATGGTCTGGCTTGTATTGTTCCAAAGAATTCCAAAGGTTGCCTCTGCATCAGTAGAAGAATTCACGCATGAGATGTAAACTTGCATTCAAACATAATTATTTAACTATATTCAGAACTCTCTGGAGTAAAACCTTTTGCCATATGTGGAAGAGGACAAGATAAACAAGGTCTGTGTCGCCACTGTCAGTTGCCTTTGTCAAGGCTGTATCTTCTTCTCCTATGCTTAACAAGAGAGGAACCTAAACAAAAGAATTATTGAGCATGAAGATAAAATCTACAATAGAACAAACCATATTTTATGAAACATTTTAATAGAAATTCTGTATCACAAACAGTTTAATAACTTCAACATATCACTGGAAAAACCAGCGAAACAGAATACCTGTTTAGAAGAGCGTGGTTCATGTTCAACAAGCATGGCTGCTAATTTTCGGCGGCCATTCTTGTCTGCATGGGCAGCCACTGCAGCATAGGATATGCCTTTGCACATTTTTAACTAGGAATCAAAAGATGCTTAATTTCATGAGTCGTTTCTTTGCCATAAACAGAATAAATAAACACTACAGAACTCCAATTGTGAAAAACCTTATCAAGCAGAATTTCAAGAAGTGTGGCGTCAGGAATAGTCAATGATGATGTTATCTTTGAACATGCCCAGTGCATTATCACCACTTCCTACACAAAAGCAGCAAGAGAAAATCGAATTCATACACAGAATAGAAATTGCTACGTCAATGATTTCAATAACAAACAACTAATGAGGAACCAGGAATTAAGAACTGCCCAGTGTTTAGTTTTTCCCTCGCCCCCTTTGTTTCCTTCTTGCTTATTCATTTTTCTTGTTTATTTTAAAAACCATCACAGACTTCTTTTCTCAACAAAAAAAAAAAAAACATCACAGAGAAAATAAGGGAACAAATCAAGAAAAATTCATAAAAATATTTCTTTATTTTTCAATCCAATATCTTTTCCATTTTCCAATATGAGAAATGACGCCAAGTGCCAGCACAAGGTAAGGTCAGGGATCACCACAACATCATCAGATGTCTATCCTCAAGTTCTTGTATTTTCCCGCATTAACACCTAGTCATCTTGCTTCCCTCATGCCCGGAGAGAGAATTCATTGACCAACCAGTACCATCATTACGTGCACAGATTCTGAATTACATTATTGCGAGCATTTGAAACTTTCCCTATAGCTAATGTTTAAATAACTCTTGCTGACTTTCAGATGTTTTCACATCATAATTCCCCAATGATAATTGACTACTCTAAGCCCCCTCAATTCTCAAAAGCTCCATGCAAATCCAACTTAGCAACATTGCTAATTCATGTTTCCTTCTATCTTCTGGGATTACAGTTTTTTAGTATGGAGAATCAAAGTCTGAGAATTTACAGTGGTATGATTATGTTTAGGCTCAGTCAATAACTTAAAAAGACAGACATCTACACATATGAAGTATGAACATTAACAGCAATGCAATAAGTAACAGAGGGGCACGGCTTATCATGAATTCAGGAGAGATAAGATCATAATGACAACAATGTGCCCTAGCCCAGGGGCACAGATTGAAAAACCTCAACTTACACAACTGAGAGAATACTTCCAGTTTTAGTCTTGGGCCCACAAGAATGGTACACAGTTGTAAAAAAAATGTAACTCTGGATAACGCCCAAACTAACACTATATATATATACTTACTTGATTCATTCCAAGATATTCTGATATCCGCAAAGCAAGCAGATGTTGATAAGCATTAATCAAGCGCCCAATCAGGACAGATGGCGTGAGCAACTGAGGAAAGAGAAAATTCAGTACAAGTTCAGCTTATGACATTTTTCAGGTGGGAAGGAGAGGACAAGACAAGTAAGCTCTAAAGACCTTATACTGTTGAATACTGAGAGGAATGCCAATCTCTGGGCTGCGAACTGCATTCAAGACTCGTAGAATTTTACACATCTCTGGAATACGATCACGTTGAAAATTGCTGCCAAAGTCAACTGGATATCATTACCGAGAGCAAAAATCAGAAAAATATGCTTATCCTTAAGTCATTGACTATTATTGGGAGCAACAAACTTAAAACGACATGATACAAAGATTTTATAACATTCTTGCCGGTCATTGCTCCAGTAAGTCATAATCAAACTCACCTGCAGAAAGCTTGGCCATAACTGGCTGCTCTTAAGAGAGTCCGCTGCCGCAAAACATCAAACTCATGACCAGCAGCATCAACACATGCTTCGACAGCCTCAGGAAGGGACGATCTTATCAATCTCAAATTTTCATCTGCCTGGTGAATGGTAAGAATATTAAAAACTCATCTGAAATTTATGACATAACTGACTTGCAAATATAAGATCAGATGCATCTTCCATAATCCACAGAAACTGCTAGCTTGATTTATTGTTTTCCCCTTTTGTATAACTAGATCAAATAAGCATCACCAGCCCAAATAAAGTCCCTACCTTAGCACTTCGCCTGTCAAAATGATCCAGGGCATCATATAGTAAAGCTGCAGGTGATGTGCTTCCAATCGTAAATATTGAAACAGTGGAATCAGGGACCCGCTGAAGAAACTCCATACTAGTGTTAGACAATATCCTCACTCCATCACACTCAGGTATGAGAATTATAGGTTCATCATAAAAGTAGCGAACCGGATCTCCATCAGGACCCATCATTAAAAGTATGTCATCCCAGTAAAGCAGCACAGCGTCCATTCCACACCAAGCAAGCTGCCCTGGAGGAAGCGCCGACTGCATGCATGAAAATAGTCATTAAGCTATAGGCATTCAACAAGAAGCTCTAATAGAAAAACTATCAAATAGAGTAAACATGATAACCATCGCGAATGCCTTGTTAAGATTTATGAGGTCCTGCGTGTCACTTATAACTGGTAACGGTAGCATTTAAGAACAAGTGACATCTAGATTGCAAGACCGACTCAGAAGATAATTATTAACAAATAACATGGAATAAATCAACTTCAGCTACAAGCAAGCAAACACCGACTCAATGTGCGCCTCACTCAACTTCCATGACTTTCTTGTGATTGTCGACTTCTATAGCACCCTGCAGCTTCTTTACTGAAATAGATTTTATGCAAAACCCAAGTGTCGGACTTAGTAACAGCCCTCCCCTTTTCTGTTCCTTGGCAACTAAATTAAGTAGCACGAGAGAATCAAAAACCAACCTCACATTCCCTCTCGATGATAACGCCAGTCAGGTCCGAAGTAGTGACCAAAAGTCGGCCGTCATGAGTAAACGAAGCCAGCCACTTCCCATCACGTGACACTACCATCTTCTGCAAGGGGCCCCGCAACACCTCGACTCCTAATTGCTGCACTGCATCTTCCTCCACAGACAAAACAACAGCATCATCCACTCCAAGTAGTACCTCCACGTTTCCAGACATTGTGTACTGAGGCTCGATCACTGCCATACAATGTGGCAACTCCGGAATTGCGGGGTCTGCAAGCTTAGTGGCTTTTGGGTTTTTGAAGTCTGCAATACAGAACAATTGATTCGCCTCAGTAATACACACCATCCCGTTGCCCCAAAACACACATTCTACCACATTCTGCTCGAAACACTCCTTGCCCAGCGAAATGTTCGGTTCCAAAAGCTCGGCATGAATATTATACCGATAAATTGTGCCATCCTGCACGACGCAGACAAGGATTTGATCATCAGTCCAAGCCATGCCAATAAGGCGGCCGCCGGGGTTCTTCCACACGGTTTCCGATAACTGAACGCCAGCGGAGTTGAAAATTCGAAGCTTGCGAAGAGCGGACTCAGCATAGAGCTGGACGATCTTGGAGTCATCACGGATCACGGCGACGGGACCGCCGAAAGGGGCACAAGCAACTTTGTTGCGACTAAGGTCGATGTGCTTCCATCTCATAGGGTAGATTTCAGGCTTCCGATAATACCGGTTGTACAGGAGCTGCCACTCCGCGGCGACAGAGACGTTCGCCATGGGAGAAACTGCGTTTTCGGCAAGGATTAGATGGATTGATGCCTTCTTACAGAAATTAAGATGGGAAAAAGAAAGACCGAAGCCAAAAGGTTGATTATTTACTGCATAAAAAAATGATGAATTGGATTAATCAGAAATCTCAGAAACCTAGATTTCTGCTCCAAGAAGAAATCGGAAAATCTTAGCTAAAGGGCGAAGGAAGAAGAGCAGAAGTAATGCATCGTCGTTAAGCCTAGTCTACAAACTACTCCAAATTCATTCTACTGAGTGTTGTGCTCACTTGACTGGAGAAGGAGATGAAAGAGTTGATTCCAAAATTTTGTTTGATGTTCTTTTTTTCTCCCTTTCTTGTTTTTTTTTTTTTTTGCCAGAAATTCCCCTTTCGTGTTCAGAGCGAGGCGAGAAACACTTTCATGTCATTTTAATTTTTGTTAAAAATATTTTATTCCTAAAATAAATGGAATATAATTGCATTTATGTTTAACACTCTAAAATAAATGGAATATAATTGCATTTATGTTTAACCAAAGGATGTTTAATATAAATATAAAATCTTAAGGATATATAGATCTTTTTTTCCCCAAACAAAACAAGTCATTTGTTGGCCAAAAAAAAAAAGAGGACAAAACAAGTCATTTCAACAGTGATATATTATACCCAAGAAATTTTGTGGTTTTCTTTGAGTTCAAAGAAATTATGTAGTTCAATGGTTAAAAGAGAAATACGCTGTTCAAAGCTTAAATTAATTCCAATAGATTCTTATCACTTTCAACACTAAGTAGCTTTTCCACTTCAATTTCAATACGCCTTGAATTCTTAGAAAAATATAGAGGTCACATTAATCGAAAACCTAAGATCATATCAAATTTTGAGATGCTTAATGCAAGACTTATTTTATCATGTAAATTATATTACAAAATAGATTTTATATTTAGGATAAAATGAGTAGTTATTTAGTGTTTTAGTATTTATAGTTCAAATTCTTTAAATTTTATGGTATACTCTTATTTTGCAATTGAAACAAATACTTTTCTTGGTAAGCATTGATTGGTCATAGTTGCGGAATGTTCAGGAACAGTTTATATACAGAGGCTACAAGCGAGTTTCTGCGTTGGCCCAAAAAAGGACTTTTTGGATGATTAGGCTTTGGAAAATAGGAAGGAAAAAAGGTAAAGGGCTAAAATTTCTAAGAACCCATTTGGTTCAAAATATTTAAAGGAGAATTATAATGAGATTCCATGTAAAAAAAAACATTACAAAACAAATCCCAGAAGTTATTATTCTCTACTCTAAAACTTGTCATTACAGACTGCTCAGGTTGTTATTAGACCTTTTAGTGATTATTTCTCTTACATGTAGGAGTGTTCATAGGACCGGATGGGACAAGGACAACCCCGTCCTAGTCCCGTCCCGATAAATGGGACGGGACGACTTTTCCGTCTCGTCCCAATTGGGACGAGACAAAACTAGAACGGGACAAGAACATCTCATCTTTCTTTTTTTAATTTTTTTAATTTGAAAACTAACAACACGGAAAATGTAAAAAGTTATAATAAAAACTATATGAGAAAAATATATAAAAATGACAAAACAATGACAAAGAAAACTGTTTTTTGTAATCATGAGAGACAAAAAATAAACAAACCTAAAATATTCACTACAAAGAATATCATGTAATTCATACAAAAACAACTTATAAACAATTAAAAAATAACAATTGATAAATATCATTACCAAAATACTATTACAATGACAAATAAAATAAATATATAACAACTAAAAATAATATATTGGGGCAGGATTGGGATGGGACACCCCTATCCCGCGTCCCGTCCCGTCCTGAAACAATTTTATCCCATCCCGCTTTCGTTCCATCCCAAAAGTTTTCGGAACGGGATTGTCCCGTCCCAAAATGACTGGGACAGGGACGGGACAGTGGGACGGGACACAGTTGAACACTCATATTTATATGGGATGATTGTAATTCTCCCAATATTCAATTGGAATAAAAAATAATTCTTAAAAACTTGAAAAGAAGGAAACGGAAAATTTCCCGTCAAGAACTTTTTCCAAATTAAAAAAGAAAATAAGTTAGAAAATTGGAACACTGGCAATAGCAATCCAAGCCCCATTCCTTTACCTCCCCTGGGTATTCTTCCCGCCAAAGCTGCTTTTTTTTCCCCTGAAAATTACTGAGATTTTAAAAAAAAATATTTATGAAAAAAATCTCATAGCAAGTAACCAGCATAAATTTATTATTATTTTTATACTAAAACTTTTTATTGTATATTTTGAGTTATTAAATCTTTTTCTTAGAACACCTTATTTTAATTCCTCCCTTTTCTACAATAATTTTTTTCTTTTTCATATCTGCCTTTGGAGTCTTCTCCCGCAGGGGAGGCACCTAGTCACACACTCCCAACGCAACACGGACTCAGGAACAGATCTCTGGCCAAAGCGGCTTAGATATAGCATGCTGGACACTAAGGCCCCGTTTAGCATAATAGTAAAAATCCTCTATAAGCATATTTCACATAAATGAAAACAAAATTTCTCTCACATATTTGTCTCGTATTTTATAAATTACTATTAAAAAATAGCTTATAACTTATAAACTGTTCCAAACGGACTCTAATATGTACGCAAAACAAGAGAGTCACCTTCATGTCACGTTCGACCGTCCCCTCAGGTTTTTTAATCGCTACCACGTTGTTTATTATATACTTGCGTATTCTAAAACGGGTGTCTGTTATCTTGTCAACTAATGGTTACCTTTCTGAAGTATTAATAAAAAGCAAAATGATACTACCTCTCTTATCCTAAATATAAGAGCTGATTGACTAATTTGAATAAATTAAGAAAGCAAGTTAAGTTAGTTATTTGTAATAAATAGATGTTGTCTTTCCAAAAATCTCCTTGCTAATCAAGTTTATTGGTTAGAACTACCATTATTAGAAGAATTATCTTGAAAAAAAATGAATAAATATGAGAAACAAAATATATTGGAGTCTTATATTTAGGACATAAATAAAAGTCAAACGATGTCTTATACTAAGAACAGAAGGTAGTAGTATATTACTATCTCTGGTCCTTAATATAAAAGTTAGTTGACTAATTTAGGTGGGTTAAAAAAATTTATTAAATTAATTATTTATAAAAATAAGTGTTACTCTGTTATCTTTTATAGGATACCTTTGTTAATTATGTGTATTAACTATAATTACCATTTGATATAATTTTTAACATGTACAACTGCTATAACGATTACTTTAAAAAAATAGATAAATATAAGAGACAAAGTGGATTAGGGTCTTATAGAATGAAATTGAATGTCAAACTAGCTAGGTAATATACAGAAATATTACATTGTAGCATGCTGATGAACCGGGACACACAATGTAGCCTTGTACACAAAAAGAGACTAAAAGACCAATGTATTTGTTCGGGTATGTTTGGAATAGCTTATAAGAAACTTTTCAATAATGATTTATAAGATATAAGTATATGAGAGAAATTTTATTTTGTCTTACGTAAAACATGCTCATAAGGAGTATTTATAATGGTCGACCCAAATGAGTTTTGATTCTGTTTCTTTTCGGGCCAATCACTCCACTGATTCATGACTCGATTTTAGTCTGATTTCTGCATCTTTCAGTGACAATAAAATAATTATATTATACAAGATAGACCAGACACCAAACACACCCAAATATTTGCTCAACTCCATGATATATGAACCGACAGAAACATTTCTAGCTTTTGTCTACTTGCTGTGGCATCGGAAACGTACAGATCGGAGCTTCAGTTTGTCTCATGGGGAATTCCATCTCTAGATTTTCTCATCGTACCAGTACGCCTGGGGATCCCACCATGTCCCCAAGGTTTCATTAACTAATATGTACATATATATGTTTCATTTCATTTATTTTCCATTTCTTCTCTTCTCTCTGTCTTTCTTATTCTCACTTATTTTTTGCTTTTAAGGATTTCAGATTTGGATTCGGGTCCTTCACTTCACACCACTTATGGTTATATAACTGGATGGATTGCTGCTTGCTTTGGTCGAAATAAAGCATCAAGGACTGAACAATAATATAGTCCCTTCAAACAGCACCCTGCTCTAATGATTCTCTTTCTGATAGCCATCCATGACTGTATATGTCATGGCACTCTTAGTTCTGAGATCAAATCTAATGAATTTAAGAATGGTTTTGGTTTGGATGTGTCATGTTTCTGTAGGTGTTGCTTGTGAGCTGCTATTGTTGGTCATCGTCTCTCCAATATGGAGCTTCTTCATCAACGTCTCTTCACTTGTTTTGTTTCTCGCATTGTTGTCCCATCTTGTGGACTCTCAAAAAAGTGTGGAGGGTGAGGCTACTGAAATGACAGACCTTGAAGCTGCAACCACACCCAATCTTTGATTAACCTAAGGTATGCTGGTTTGACAGAGAAAATAATTTTTTTTAAAAAAAAATACTGCTTCCGGTTCTTAATATAAGAGCTAGTTGAATAATTTGAATAGATTAAGAAAACTAGTTAAGTTAGTTATTTGTAATAAATATGTATTGTCTTTCCTAAAATATTCTTGCTAGTCAACTGTATTAGTTAGAATTATTATTATTATAAGGATTACCTTAGAAACAATAGACAAACATGAGAGATAAAATTAATTGGGGGCTTATATTTAAGACCGAAATAAAAGTCAAGTAAGGTCTTATATTAAGGATTGGGGATAATAATTTAAGAAAAAATAACAATAAAATTATACTTCAATTTTAACATTACAGAAATTGAAAAAATTTCACTTTATTACATACTCAGAAGTCTCTTAAAATCAAAATACATTCCTAATCATGTGATGAGTATTGTTATTAGAGTTATCAATACCGTCGCAAATCCATCCTAATCCGTGACAAATTTTATCAATACCATCGCAAATCCATCCTTAATCCGTGACAAATTTTGTCACTAAAATATATTGGCGATGGATTAAATTTCATTCATAATTTTCGTCACTAATCTGTTACTACATTTTGTCACTAAAATCCGTTGCTAATTCCATAAAAAATTTGTCTAAAATCGGTCACAAATCTATCTAAAATCTATCTCTAATTTTGCCACTAGCCCACGCATTTTTTTTATGAAAGTTAGTGATGAAATAAATTTCATAGCCAAGGTTAGGATGGATTTGTGAGGAAATTTTGAGACAGAAACTAATTTAATATCCATCACTAAGTCATCACTAAATTCTATTACTAACTTCTGTTACAATTCAGTCACAAATCTGCC